ATGGCACTGCACAGGTGTGGACTCGGGGCACACTAAACTAGGAATCGAGAACCTTGAGCAGCAGTTCAGAGTTTTATCCACCTCAATTTTTCCTGCTTTTTGCCCACTATTATGGCCAATGTGGGCGGGTGGGAAGGGGGCTATTCCTGACAACTTATGCTTTCCAAGATCCTCTTAAAGAGAGTTCTCTAGTTGAGTGGAAACTCTTCTACAAAAAGTTGGCCGGTTCTGTGAACCTGGAAAAGAATTTCTCTCTGAATGCTTATGTTGCAAGTTCCTCATAGGGAAAGAGCCTTAGAATAACATGAAGTTCTATTTTATCGGCAACTTAGAATGCAAAGTATTTTATTTTTAAACTTCTAAATTTGAAAACAAAACAGCCTAGGTTAAATAATGGTTTTTCCAAAGCTGAATGTGCTCACATGGAGATCCATTTTTCTGCTTGCAGCACAAAACAACTTCCTACAACTCCTAGGCAGGAACACTACTGATTTTGATGGTCTGTGATTGGATGAATGGATCAATCTCAGTTGGTTATGTCCCTTTTTTTTCCTTGGTAAGGGCTTAAAAAAATTCTAGAACAGATGCATTTTTCTAGTCTTACACAGACACTTTGATTCCAAATGTCTCCTGAGAGGCATATACCATATGCAGGAACCCATCTTCGTCCTTCTCATGTTCATACACTTCAGAAATCAGAGTGGACACACTCACCATGCTGTGTCCATTGACTAGCAATAAGAACTCCCGATTAGCGTTGAGCTGTTAAGCGCCTCCTAATGATCTTGATGAGCTCACTCATGTTGACGTGATCAGGTACAAGGAACTTGGTTTTGTCCAGTACAGGAAGTTGCTTCTCACCCTTGTATCGTTCTGTGATCACTGGGATTTTCGTAGGATGCTGCTCGGATAAGTCGGACATCTACTCTTTGTTCAAAGGTGCGGCGCTGCTTGAAGGTCTTCTCCGACAGCATGGCGCGGGAGGCGAGGCGGAGGGTCCGGCTGTTCCAGACGGCAGTGGCAGAGACTCCGACTGTGGCGACAGCAACTTCCCTTGTCTGATTGAGTTTAATTCTTAAGAGGAGATGCAAAAAGGCAACCCACGAAGAGGAGAAAATAACTGCAAATCACATATCCAATAAAGGATTAATATCCAGAGTATGTAAAGAATTCCTACAACTCAGCACCAAAAAACAAACAACCCATTTAAAAAATGGGCAAAGGACTGGGATAGACTTTTCTTCCAATCGGATATACAAATGGCCAATAAGTATATGGAAAGATGCTTAATATTACTAGTCATTAGAGAAATGCAAAGCAAAAGCACAATGAGATGCCATCTCACACCCATTAGGATGACTATTACCAAGAAAACAGAAAACTGCAAGTGTTGGCAAGGATATGGAGCGGCTGGAATGCTCGTGCACTGCTGATGGGAATGTAAAATGCTAACAGCTGCTGTGGCAAACAGTATGGCAGTTGACAAAACTGAGAATTTCCATATAATCCAGCAATGCAACTTCTGGAGATATACACCCAAAAGAATTAGAAGCAGGGACTCGATCAGATATTTGTACACCCACATTCACAGCAACACTTTTCACAATTGTCAAAAGGTGGAAACAACTCAAGTGTCCGTCCACAGATGAATGAATAAACAAAATACAGTCTATACACACCATGAAGTATTATTCAGCCTTAAGAAGGAAGGAAATTCTGACACCTGCTACAAGATGGACAAACCTTGAGCACATTACACTGGTAAAATAAAGGAGGTCACAAAGGACAAGTATTGTATTATTCCACTTATATGGTTCTTAGAGTCATCAAATTCATAGAGACAGGGGCGCCTGGGTGGCGCAGTCGGTTAAGCGTCCAACTTCAGCCAGGTCACGATCTCACGGTCCATGAGTTCGAGCCCCGCGTCAGGCTCTGGGCTGATGGCTCAGAGCCTGGAGCCTGTTTCCGATTCTGTGTCTCCCTCTCTCTCTGCCCCTCCCCCGTTCATGCTCTGTGTCTCTCTGTCCCAAAAATAAATAAACGTTGAAAAAAATTAAAAAAAAATAAATTCATAGAGACAGAAAAAGGGGAAGTGGGAACAGGGAATTAGTGTTTACTAGGTGTGGGGTTCCAGTTGGAGAAGATGAAAAAGCTCTGGAGACGGATGGTGGTGATGCTTGCCCAATATGAATGTGCCAAATGCTACAGAACTATACACTTAAAAATGATTGACGTAATAGGAACTTGGTCAGTTAAGCGTCCGACTCTTGGTTTTGGCTCAGGTCATGATCCCATGGTTCGGGAATTTGAGCCCTGTGTCGGGCTCTGAGCTGACAGCATGGAGTCTGCTTAGGATTCCATCTCTTTCTCTCTCAAAATAAATATATAAACTTAAAAAAAAATGGTCAGCATAAATTTTTTTTTTTTTCCCTTTTGGGTATTTTACCACACACACACACAAAAAGAGTAGCTGCAACTTTACCAAGCCCAAATCTATCTTTTTATTTCAAGCTCACAAAATTAACAATATTGTGTGTTCAAATTATGTGCTTTCTCTGATATGATTTAAAACATAAATTTAAGTATTCTTTTTTTTTTTAATGTTTTTATTTATTTTTGAGACAGAGAGAGACAGATCATGAGCGGGGGAGGGACAGAGAGAGCGGGAGACACAGAATCCGAAGCAGGCTCTAGGCTCTGAGCTGTCAGCACAGAGCCTAACGCGGGGCTCAAACTCATGGACTGTGAGATCATGATCTGAGCTGACGTCGGACGCTTAACCAACTGAGCCCCCCAGGCGCCCCTAAATTTAAGCATTCTTAAATTTATTTATGCTTACGTACATTGGTCAAAACAGTATAAAGAAAAAACAGAAGTATTGTTGAATTTAGTAGTCAGGATATTAACAATACTCAGAATGAATCAGATTTATAAACACATATATGAAAACTATTCCCCTGGTCATTTACCTACATATATTGGCATTAAAATGTTCAGGAAATGGGGAACCTGGGTGGCTCAGTTGGTTAAGCATCTGACTTCTGCTCAGGTCATGATCTTGCAGTTCACGAGTTCGAGCCCCATGTTGGGCTATGTGTTGACAGCTCAGAGCCTGGAGCCTGCTTCAGATTCTCTGTGTCCCTTTCTCTCTGCGCCTCCCCGCTCACACTCTGCCTCTGCTCTCTCTATCTCAAAGGTAAATAAACATTTAAAAAAAATTTTTTTTAATGTTCTGGAAAAAGTAGGGAAATATCACATTGAGCGACTAGTGACAACCTCACAACAGGTTACCAACCTGGAACAATGTGGCAAGCAACATCCAATTATTTGTTTAAAAAAAAAAAAAAAGCTGTCTATATTGATTAATTGTTTTTACTATTCCTGGCAAAAGGTTTTCTTATTCCAAAGAGTTTCCTGAAATTACCTCAAACATTTCGAGGAGCACTTCCTTGCTGACTTCCAGTCTTTCAAAGGGTTGCTTTTCTTTTATGATAGTCTTACATATGTTCTCCAGGGCCGACAGTTGTGTGCTGGACACGGCTCTAAAAAGAAGAGTAAGTGATAGTCAACACAGATTTCTCAGACATCACGCATGTATGTTCCTTTTTGTGGACGCTCGTCATTAACTGAGGAATTTGTGCCTTATTGCACCGGACTTCAGAAAGTCATACATTCATATGCAGGGCCGATAATCTTACTTCTCAAGGAGGAAAACGGAGGCACCAACAGATGAAGTGATTTGCCTATAAATCTTCTCTGCGATGAAGTGTGCAATTTGAAAACCCTGTTAAAATACTCGCTGGTTAGAGTGTAAGCTCCTTTGAGGCCTGTTCTTCTGTGTGGTCTACCTTACACATCACACATCTACATTTTTTGTTCAAAAGAGCTATAGTAGGGGTGCCTAGGTGGTTCAGTTGGTTAAGCATCTGATTCCTGGTTTCGGCTCAGGTCATGATCTCATGGTTTGTGGGTTCAAGCCCCATGTCGGGTCTGCACTGATAGTGTGGAGTCTGCTTGGGGTTCTGCCTCTCTCTTCCTCTCTGTCTGCCCCTCCCTGCTTGCTTGCTCTCTCAAAATAAATAAATAAACTTAAAAAAAAA